AAAAAAAGGTAACTAATAACAAAACGGCCCCATTATGCTATCGGGCGTATATTGAATCTATACTTCGATATGGTTTAATAATGTGGGGTAATAGCATAGATTGGCGTAGGGCATTTATCGCACAAAAGAAGTGTATAAGGACGATATGTGGTATACCAACTAGAGAATCCTGTAAGCCAATATTCAAAAATTTGTCTTTACTAACTATGCCCTCGTTATATATTTTTGAGATAGGTAAATTTGTAAAACAGCTTACATATTTAAAAAGTCATCTGATATTAATCCTAGGCTTAAAAGAAGTCCAAATAGATTAGTTCTAAGCGAAGTTCCGAAGTCAGCTAAATATAGTATATGCTGTTTATCAATGTGTGTACGTATATACAACAAAATACCTGATGAAATTAAAACACTACATAATATGAACGTATTTAAATAAAGATTGTACCATTGGTTAATTGACAAAAATATTTATGACATTAATGAATTTCTGACATTTTAAACTAGATTTTGACATTGTAAAACATAATTATAATTTAAATAAACATGGTTAATTTGTTAATTTTAATACTATATAGGTTATCTTGATTTAAATGTAATTTGCATGCTATATTATATTAAAAATAGCAAAACATGTGGGCATAATAAAACTCTGAAACATCTGTATAATTACCATGTTTTATGCAAATAAAGACTATTGTTATTTAAAAATTACCTAAGTATATTAAAAATGATAGGAATCTATTCAGTAATTGTGTATATATATATATATATATATATATACAAATGGTGCAATCATAAACTTTTATAAGAATATGCCGTTAGTATGTACTATGAAATTAAATTTGCGACATATAATTTTATGACACGCTCCGAATCGCAACCTGTCTACGGCTTGGGGTTCCGGTCTGCGCTCCTCATAAATGTCCGTGTGGCAGTGACGTCGACAAGCTAGGATATCACGGGCTATCATGCCAAAAAAGTGCAGGTCGCTTCTCGAGACATGCAGCTCTTAACGATATCATGCGCCGGTCTCTTGCCACCGTCAACGTGCCAAGTCTACTTGAGCCGTCTGGTATTGCAAGAGACGATGGCAAGAGACCGGACGGTATGAGTTTGATTCCATGGAGGATGGGCCGGGTGCTGGTATGGGATGCAACCTGTTCAGACACGCTGGCCCCTTCCCATCTACGTGGAACCAACAACAGAGCTGGTGCGGCTTGTGAAGCGGCAGAAAAGGCTAAAGTTTGCAAATACAGGGGTCTAGGCTCCGAATATATTTTTGTCCCTTTCGGTGTCGAGACCCTTGGTCCGTGGGGTCCTAGCGCTATAAGCCTTTTTAAGGAAATAGCAAAAAGGTTAATCGACGTCACAGGAGACCGAAGAGCTGGCAGTTACCTCGGACAAAGAATTAGTCTAGCTATTCAACGGGGAAACTCTGCCAGTATCTTCGGAACCTTGCCTAAAGGACCTCTTTTTTAGTAATTTAATTTAGTTATAAAAGTGATAATATATATTTTTAAGGTTTTTAGTATTAGTATTAATTGTAAATATTATAATTTAATTTCATTAATTATACTTATATTTGTTTCTCCATATGCCAAAGTCTGTTGTCATAACTAAACTTAATTTTATGTTCATATAATGACAAGTTAATATTAAATTAGGACTGAAAACTTTATTACCTACTTAGTGCTCGTCGGATTATAGTTTATTTTACTCTAACAAAACCCCTTTGGCCTCATGTTTCCGCGTGACCTCGAGTCGTAGTGTGCGCACGAGTGGCGCGGGGAAGTGGGGGCGAAATTAGAATTTGAGCTGAGGTAGTATAACGCGTTAAAAAAGTTTCTATAAAAAATTGCAGATATCGCATACTTACTTTTCTTGGGCGCAAAAGGTTTAGTTTATGGTTCAAAACAACAACTTTTTTTTATATATGATTGGGTGGCAAACGAGCACACAGTCCACTTGATGGTAAGTGGTTATTGTGGCCCATAAACATCTACATCTATCCTCGATTAACACTTTAACAGCCGATCGTTATAAAGGTGGCCGTTCCTGGTACGCCGGCGATTTTTGCCGATATTCTATGAGTCATCAAAATGAAAAATTATTTGTGATATGTCTGTTATTCTTTTTTATATGTCCTATTGTTCTTTATATTTTGAGGGATGAAATAAAAAAAACATTAATAATAATGAAAAATATTTATGAAAAAAAAAATTAACAAAACAGGTCTACAAGCGAAAAAAAAGCTCCAACATAAACATTCTTACATACTTGAGCTAACTAAATAACGTAATTTTTTTGTGTGTGGAACATTTTGAAGCAGGGGTAGTAAGTACAAAGGAACATTGCAGTCTGGGCAGTAATAAATGGTCTCTTTGCGCCCCTTTTTTCCGGTTTCTTTTTTGAAATGTTGGCACACACTTTGCAAACTCGTGCGACTTTCTCTTTTTTTTCCGAGCTTGGAATCCTCTCGATGAAGTGCCTGCCGACGAGCCTCGTGCTAGTCCAGACAGCATGTGGACCATGGGAGGGTCCTGCTTCAGCATCTGATGTAGTTTCCACCAGTTGTTCCCCATAGTTCATCAGAAACTGCGAGAATCGCAGGCGGCGTCGTTGTTCGCTGGATTTATTGTTTAAAATGTAAGCGTTTACCTGAGAACGCGCTACTAAAATTGAAAAACATTTTTTTCAACCATTTCATACTTTTTCTATTCAACGAATAAAAGGATACATATTGGTAATTGACATCTACGCCAATTTTGTAGTGGATAGTCGAGGATGCAGTCTGCACCTCTGTCCAGCTAGCTCCGTGTTTCGTCGTGAGCATAAGTACATCACGCTTATCTTTCCATTTACAGGCAGTTAGATTGCCGCGGTGACAAAAAGCCCTTTCATCTTTTTCCAAAGGTTGTTGTCGCCAAACCTGTGGCAGACCACGACGATTCGCCATCACTGTGCCGACAGTGCGAGTTTCCTTCAGCCAAAGCAAGTCTGCAATTGTCGGACTCGTAAAAAAACGATCCATATAAATGGTGTGCCATTTACCATATGGTTCACTCAATTCAGTGATAATAGTCTCGACAGATTTCGAGTCGCCAACTTAGGGAACCATGCGTAGTATGTAGCCCGTTTTCGCGTCACAGAACATGTAGACTTTCATACCGTATTTATTGGGCTTATCTTTATTGTAAACTTTAAAGTGCACTCGACCCCTAAATCCACAAGTGCCCTCATCAATCGTCAAGTTTTCATAGGGATAAAAACTGTTCTCACACAAAAAACACAGTTCATTGAAATACGGTCGGAGTTTGAAAAAAGCATCATATTCTGGATCATTACGTGGTTTATAATTTGAGTTGTCGTTCAAATGAAGACAGCTGTAAATATGTAGCTCTGAATCGGTTCCTATTCATACGCTTTCTGGCGAATGAAGTTTCTATCATTTCACGAGTTGACCAGTAAGAATCGAAACTTTCTTTTAGAATGAGTGTCATATGAATCACTATGGAAAAAATGTTTTTAGTTCCTGTTTCGTGACTGGTTTCCATTGATAAAGCATAGTGCCAGGTTTCAGGATACCTTGTCGCGTTTGTTTAGCCTTCATTTGAGCTGCATAACGATTTGTTCCAGTCTTGAGCAATTTCCAAACAAAATCAGGAAAAAAAAATTGAGAAACAATCGAACAGTGACGAATTTTCATCAATCAGGGCTAATACGCGAGATATTTCTTGAAATACTGGATTTTCAGGCGGCTGCTGCACTGCTTGGTATGACCATCCATTAGCTTCATCGATTTCCCTGATAGAAGTTGATGCATGTCTGCCGCCACTGCAGTGGGTAGTCGAGCGCGCCCCTGACCGAACGCGTCCGCCGCGCGATCTCGCTGTTCTGGTTCAGATACGTTTTCTTGATTTTGGACCGATACCACCTCTTGTAAGTCTTGAATTACCTCTGGAGAGAGAAAACACAAATAAAAATCTAGACTTCAAAAAAAAAGGTATATTCGAATAAAAATACAATAATAAAATACAATATTTTACCGGGTCTTCCTCAATGTCTGAGTCAACACCATTTACCAAAACATCAAAAGTTTTTTTAGAATCGAACCGCTAACTACGCCGAGCGGAAGCCATTTCGCGCCAAAATGCAAGGACGTGCTCTTGGGGACGTTGGTGGCGTGGGAGCACTGGCGACGCGCGCTGAAAGATCGCTTGTCCTGCCTCCAACGCGCACATACCGTCGGTGATTCATATATGTGGGTGTAGCTAAAGAGTCATTCTACACCGGGGTTACACGCCAATCACGCACCGGGAACGTGATTTTTAAACAGACGACAGGAAAGTCAAAGCCGTACGGAGTACGTGATCGGCGTCCCGAGTTGATCCACACTGCCCGCACACAGTACGTGTACGGCTGTTAAAGCGTTAAGAATCAAAATGCAGATGTGCTGTCACCCGTGAGGACTAAGATGGAATGCCTCGTTTCCAGTAAAAAAGGGTCTCCGGTTCTCTACACTCACCATACGAAACACAGCAGCATTAAGCTACTATTTCACGCTGGTATTTTGTGAGAGCGTGGTCCTGCTCCGGTCGACCTGACCCATTCGTGCTACAACTATACTACTAATGTAACTGAAGCATGGCTCTACCACGTAAAAAAAACTTAAAAGATATGCATTGATGTGGGGGTGCAAGCAGCTTGAGAAGGTAGTTAGTGATCCAACCCACAAACTGGTCAAAATAATCAGTCAAATAAATCGGAGCTCTTTTACAGTTTATTTCCAAGTAAGAAAAAGTATAGAAAAATAACAGGCAATCCCAAAATCATAATCAATATTTTCTTAAAAGATATACATAAGATGATATAAACGGGTTTCTGCCGAAAGAATAATGGATTTATCTTTTAAATCTGAATAACTTTATGTTTATGTAAGTTGAAACATTCCTGCATAATACGATTTAATTATAAAAATATCACAAATGTTTGATTTCTAGACAAAGTGTACGTCCCCCGGGGAGGTTTCATTGGACGTGGTCGTAACACATGGAGAAGTCCAAACTATCGCACTCCACATCCTTACCGCAGAAATAATACACATCGGGTGAGTGCTATTTTTCATATTTTATTTATTTGTAATATTTATTGCACATAAAGTGTTTAATCGGCAGACTTAATGCATTTAGGCATTCTCTACAAGACAACGACAAGTTTAGCAGTGACACTTAAGTAGGTGCCATAATAAATAATAATATGAAAATATGTATACATAAATAATAATATTATAAATATACATCCTTAAAACACACTTATAAATATATATTACTGAAAATAACCTAAATAATATAGCGATCCGCCACAGTTTTGTTCGGTTTTTGGATTTCGACCACAGCGCCACCTACCGGGTCCAATTGTCAATCTAAACTACCTAGGGACCAACTCAAATGTACACAAAAAAATCTAAGTGAAAGTTAAAAAGATGTAAGCGTATAAGACCATAGAATACTATAATACACTATAGAATGGCTGTCAACCTTATTTTGTACGACGATAGGCTTCGCCGGGAGCACACATACAAACAATACCGTCGTATTATCACTACTACAAACCCGATTCGCTGTGTTAAGACAGATTTTAATAAATATTTATTTGTAAATAGCGTGCAACTTGGCATTTTCTAAATAATTTGCATGGGTAATTTGGAACCGATTGTAACGTCAAAACACATCTCGTGTTGACATTTAACACACCCCCCCCCCTATGTATTTATAGTGTTCCATGGTATAGACAGTGGGAAGTGACTTTTTTAATTCTATGTAGAGCGAATAATCTATGCATGATGAATAGCATACGCAATTTTCGAGTAATACATTATACCAAGCATTTCTAATAGGAATCTAGTATTTTAAATTTTAAATAGAAATCATTCTACGTACATAAGCAGAAATATTTGTGAGTGGTATTTTGACCTGTTCATAATAAGTTTTGAACTTTTAAAGCTCGAAATACACCAAATATTTATGTGAGCAAGCAGTATAAGTGTTGGCACCAGTTACCTTATAAGTTTTAGTTTATAAGTTTAGTTAGTTATTTCATGTACTATTATTATCAACCAGAAGTAACATTTTAATTGAAAAAAAGACATTCAAAACAAAACTTGTACTGTAATTTTTTTTATAAAATCAATGTTTATTGTATAATTTATACTTGTGATTGTTGTCGCTTGGTGAAACTCCAGCTTAATTTTTGTTATTTGGATAAAAACTTATACTAGTTTTACAATATTTATTTTAGATTATTGTCAAACTAGTAAGAAATATGTATTTATAATGCTGTGAGGTGAAACCGGTTGGTTTTATAATTAGTTTAATAATAATTTAAAATAAATATTGTGGAACTAGTACAAGTGTTATGTCTGCTCACTGACCATTCAGAACAAAATTCCACCATCCCGATGACGCGTTCATTGGCCACGCTTTCTGCTGTCTGTTATAATATTCCTTATGAAAGTGGTCAGTTTATCTTGACAGGTTTTACACTTAATAGATCTTATTTCTTTAAATAGATGGCAGGAGGGGATAGCCAGGATTTTACATTTTGCCATGTGTACGAGCTACTCGAACATTCTTATTGTTTTTAAGTAAGATACATAAGCATTGTAACAAAATTGTAAATGCTTTATTTTTATAAAATGAGTGTGAACTTAACACTCCAGGGAATCGGTCGTTATCATTTTAGTTATTATCAGTATCATCTTAAATTTTCATTTCATATACTAAAAATGTAGACAACTCCTACAGTCGTTTGGTCCTTCGAGCTGGGCAAAAAGGTTGACAAATGCAGCTTATTTTTATTTTGAGTTATCAGGAAGATGCTGCTGCCCATCTGTTTAATTTCTCTGTCGCCTCTTACGACAACTACGGGGTGATATGATTGACGGAATTCTCCTGCGCCTCCACTACATGGCAGGGTTGGAGTATTACATTCTGATAAACAAAAGAGAAGCTTTCACAGGAAACAAGCAACCGTCTTAATATTTTCTATTTAGTTATTTTTTTTCCTATTTTATAAGAAAACCCGCCGGTATTTAAACTAACCTTTGCTTTTATTTTATTTTCAGGGTAATTTTATGTCAAGGCCCTCATTCCCACCACCGCAAATGTGTTCCAATCCCCAAACAAACCAACAGATCAGACCAAATGTCCCTGAAATTCGTTCCGAAATATTACAACCCCCTCAAATGGGGCCAGAAGTATCCCCAGAGAGACCTATACTCCCCCAAGACATGCCAAATGCTTACAGACCTCAAGAAAACAGACCATACCCTCAAAACTTCCCAAGGTTCCAACAATTCCGGCCAAATTTGGACGAACCTAGACCCTTCGCGCCGAACGTTCGTCCGAATTTTGAACCAAGACCTATGTTCCAATATCAGCCAGGTTTCAATCCTAGACCGTTCGCACCTCCAATCCGGGAAATAGCTCCGAGCGGTGTCAGCCACATACCCCAAGTGACTATACGCCAGCAGCTCCCAGTAGTGGCCAGCAACCTACCCAAAATGGATAAGTTTCCTCCGAAGAGCATCAGCAGAGAGCAAGAAGTGCGGATGCTGCCAGTACAGTTGCCACCAAATATACCTCCAGGTGGCTTAGCAGGGAAGAAAGTTTTGATCAATCCGCACTTCAAAGGAAACTTCCAACCTCCTGTTGAGGGTATGTATAAATTATGTATTGTATAATTGTATGTGCGTAAGTGATTGTGTAATTTCTGAACCATTTGATTGATTGAGGTCATATTCTCACTATATATTTGTTTTGTTGAAATAATGGTTCATAACCATGTTGTTGTATGTGTATACCGGTAGGCGAAATGTAGGGCGACGCTTCACTAGATGGAGTGATGACCTAGTAAGACATGCAGCAAGTTGGTGGATGCAGGTGGCTCAGAACTGTGCTTTGTGGCATTTCTTGGGGAGGCCTATGTACAATAGTGAACATGTGAAATGCTGTACTATGATGATGATGAACTATACTGTTCTCAACTTATTAACAAAGTGTATATTAATTGACCAAAATGAATCATATTTACTATGTTGGATTAGTGCCAAAAAGAATATCACTAAGTTAATAGGTTATATTTACACTAAAAAATTATATTTTCAAATATCTTTTGAAATACCATTATCGTTATAGAAAATCGAATTCAAAACCCATTACTAAGGACACTCAACTGCATTTTTAATTATTGATTTACAAATGTTTAGCTGAGATGGAAAAGATCGTGACGAAACCTGATTGTCTGAGAAATTTTAAATATTTCGAGGATGTGTGTATTTTACCAACATGCATTAGGATAGCGCGTTGAACTCTTCTTAAAACCCTTTGAAATGAGAAGTCTATTCCCAGCAGAGGAATTGATAAGCTATTAGTTTCTTACATTTATACAATGTTTGAAATCGGTTTTTATTAAATTATTTGATGAATATCAGAACTCTCACAGCTGCTGGTCTATACATAAATTAACCCTATGATTCTACATAAAACGCTGTAACTTTTTAACTTTTAGAAATTCTTTGGAGTTCAATAATTTACTTTACAGTTCTTATAAACTCAGTTTAATTTTAATGTCAAGGGTTGCCAAAAATAATTTTGTTTACAAAATCATTAACTTTTTTTAGAAGTAGCATAAAAAAATTATAAAATTTAGAAACAATTTAACATTTTGTAAATATTGTGGATTGTTCCAAAAATTACAAATTGCATACACTCCAGTATTTATTTGTAAACAAAGTCTATTCAGTTTTTTTTTAAATTTCCGAAGAGAATTTTACTCCGTGTTTGTATACGTTTGAGATATTTTTGTTCATTTTGTATACATATGAGATATTTTGTTTCGTGTTTGTATCCGTTTGAAATCTTTTATTTTGTGTTTTTGTATACTTTAAAGATAATATTTTCGTGTTTGTATACATTTAATTTTTTTGACTTAGATGTTAACAACAAATTGTGTAATGTCGTAGGGCTACCAACGTACATACCAACAAGAATACAAAAGACTCCGCCGCTCAGTCCTACACTGGAGAGTAAATTTGGTAATTGAATATTTACTTAGCTAATCATCCTAAGCTGTAATTTGTGATTTTAGTAGCTTGGAATGTTAGCTTCATTTTTGTTTTTAACACATTTACCATTTTATGTTTCATTGAGTCCGGGAAGTGTTCAAACTGTGGAGATCTAGACTGATTTATTTGGGTTTCATAACTAAACAGTCATTTTTTCAGGCGTATTCGGAGTTTGATAGTACTATAGAATGTCAATATCATACATTTTGCTATTTCTTTTTAGTAATTAATAATTTTAGTAGTAACGCAGGAAAATAATATTTACTATTATTACATAAAATAATATAACAGTGAATATAATATACTATCTTCAAAGTTTCTACTAGTTGAGGATGCTGCGTCTATAGTCTAATTAAACAACAATAAAAAACCTGCCTTATATCAAATTATTAGCTTTCGGTTTGAAATATAATATCTGTTTTACGAAAGAAAAATTCAACATCTCCAAAACCCAAGCGTGTCTCTTCACTGCAAAAAGGAGCCGGCTCACCTTGGCTCCTTCTTTCCGAAATGTATCACTGGAATTCACCGACTGCCTCCAGTTGCTGGGGGTTGAGATATCGTCAAGTCTGAACTTCGGACGGTTCATTAAGTCCAAGACCAAAGCGGCTGCAAGGAGGCTATGAGTCCTTGCAAAAGTGCGGCGATACTTCACACTGGACAGATGCTTACTTTATATAAAGCGCAAGTCCGGTCGTGCGTGGAGTATTGCTGCCATGTATGGGCTGGTGCTGCAAAATGCCACCTAGCGGCCTTGGACTCAATGGAAATCGTACTAAGAGGCTTATTGGTGACCCAAATTTGGTTGAAACCAATCTTACCAGCCTCGAACACCGGCGCAAAGTAGCGTAGGAATTGCATAGTTTAATTCCTCCCTCTCCCTTCCACCATTGGACAACCAGGCGTTCGGCCAGTCTCCACCCTTTCGTTGTTGATTTACCACGCATTCGAACCAAACGGTTTGCTTCGCTGTTCATCATACGTACAGCAAAGGAGTGGAATAAGTTGCCAGCATCTGTCTTTCCATCCGATTACAATGTGTGTCTTCAAGGCAAGAGTGAATAGGTTTTGATAAGTCAGTGCGCTTTACCATCTCAAGCTACATCACCACTTACCATCAGGCGGGATTGTAGCAAGTGCTGGCTTAGAAAAGTTAGAAAAAGAAAGATTCCGTGGATATATGCAAACTAAAATGTAGCCTGGTATTTGATAGCAAATTTCAAATTTCGCGAAGACTATGGCAGCTCGGCCACAGTTTTGTGTGCCAAATGCCAAATTGCACCCTATTGCCAAATAAATATGTATTATAATTTAAACGATTTTTTTAATAATGATCTTGAACATAAATCAAGTCTAAAATGTGTCAATTTATTCGGTCTGTCAACACAGCGAATCGGGCTTGGCGACGCCAAACCTCGTACAAAATAAAGTTAACAGCCATTCTATTGTGTATTATAGTATCCTATGTCAATCAACCATGACCATGTTTTGTAGTAAGACAGAATTTGTTCAGTAAAAAAAAGTTATATATACTGAACCGATTTAATAAATGATTACTGAAATCATTTTAGCTGAAATATTATAATTTATTTCAACTAAAATGATTTCGGACGTAGGAAATGCAAGTACACGTTCAAGTTCTTGAAGCTTTTTTCGCTCAAAGTAGAAAATTACATTGCAATAGTCTATATTATACCGGTTGATTTTTTTACCATTAGGAAAAATTAGGTTGTATTAGAAGACCGAAGTAGAAACCCTTAGTATACGAGGGTGGATTGAAAAGTACTCGGCCTAACCAAGAAAATAAACACATACTAAATCAGTTATATTTTTATTTTTCTACATAATCACCATCAAGTTCAATACACTTTTGCCACCTCCCCTTCCAAGCATTTAGACCGTTGAAAAAAAATGATTCTTCCTTAGAGTCAAAATATGCGTCTACAGCTGCTTTGACCTCGTCGTTTGTCGAATATATTTGACCTCCCAAGTGCTTTTTTAGGTTAGGGAACATAAAGAAGTCTGATGGTGCCAGATCAGGTGAATACGGCGGATGCGGTAACAGTTCAAAGCCACAGTTGTGAATTTCAGCCATTGACTGTACTGACGTGTGAACACGGGCGTTATCTTGATGAAACAGGACTTTTCTTCTGAGCATTCCTCGACGTTTTTCTTTTATTTCCTCTCTTAAACGACGTAGTAAGGTGCAGTAGTAATCAGAGTTTATAGTCTGACCCCTTTCAAGATAATCAATCACAATCACACCTTTCGAGTCCCAGAATACTGAAGCCATCACCTTATTTGCCGACAAAATCGACTTAGCCTTTTTAGGGGGTGGTGAACCAGGTCTTCTCCACTGTTTTGATTGTTGTTTTGTTTCCGGTGTACAGTAATGAACCCATGTTTCGTCCATAGTAACAAAACGATTCAAAAAATCATCTGCATCGGCTTCAAATAACTCCAAACAGTCGAGTGAAATAGTCAATCGCGTCCTTTTTTTGTTCAACTGAAAGCAGTCGCGGAACCCACCTCGCAGACACCTTGTGGAAACTCAACTCGTTGACAATGATGTTTTGAGTTCGTTCATAAGAGATGCCTATAATCTCGGCTATCTCTCTAATTTTTAATCTGCGGTCTCCCATTATTAAATCAAGTACTTTTTTTAATATTTTCGTCAGTAGTTGACGTCGAAGGCCTTCCAGAGCGGGGTTCATCTTTCACACTCTCTCTACCACGCTTAAATTCTGCTATCCATTTTTTGACGGATGAATATGACAGAGCACAATCGCCTAATGTACTGACCATGTCATCATGGATGGCTTTTGATGATAGATAGATTCTTATGGAGGTACTTAATGACGGCACGCTGCTCGATTTGCTCCATTCGCGGAAATTATGTCCGATTACTTTGTTAATAAATTTATAAAATCACAACTAATTATCGCACACGTTTCGAACTTCACACAGTGAACTAGTCTGAACTGAACTAAATAATGTGGGTAGATTTGATTTTTAGAATTGAATGGATCTGTGTTAGGCCGAGTACTTTTCAATCCACCCTTGTATTATGTTTTTAATTGCATCGTTTTTATTGACATTTTATCAAATTGATCTATCAATAAATACTACTAGCCTAAAGTAAATATTTTACCTATCGGATCTTGACTAGGCCAAGTTTTACTATTATACAATTCTGCGCGTGATTTGGATTGATTTATTATTAATTTTCTCATTGTAAAAAGTCACCCGGTATAAAGTGACTTCTTTTAATTATAAATATTGATCATATTTTAGCAAAGAGCTGGAATAGACATACACAAAAGTGAGGGTGATATTCACCTCATCTAGGATAATACTTTGCGTATTACGTTGTGAGAACACGCCCCCGTTCTTATTAGAGAAACACGTGTTTTCTTTTGAAGGGGTGGTAGCAAATATGTGCAAATATACAGAAATAATTTCGACGGGTTGCAATTTATTGACGTTGACTGCATTCTTGTTCATTTTGAAAACTTGCCAGACTCATTTTTTCAATTTAGCATCATATAAACGTATTTATATTATATATCTTATGAAAATACACACGACTTTAACAGTGCATTAATTTTGAAATTAGCCATTTGTGTGGTAAAAATATGAGATGCATCACTCGCAATCTTTCCCTATGGTGTAGCTAGAGCACTAGCTGATAAAAGAACTCTACTTAAATTATATTCTGAAGATGGTTTGTGTCAATAGGAACTGCATATCAAAGTAAGCTAACTTTTGATTATTTTGAACACCATTTAACTAAGATTGACTAGCAGAGAATGCCTTTAGCATTAAGTTCGCCTTTTGTTTCTATCTATACATTGCGTAGGATCATCAATCACTAATAAAGAACATTAGTGATCGATGCGTAGGGTTCAATAAAGAATAAATAAATAAAAAATAGACTTATATTAACAAAGACATTGAAAAGGTTAATTGCATCTTTGAACCCAAAGACATACACCATATAAAATGTATAACATAATTCGAGGGCTCCGTGGTGCAGTACCTTAGTATTGAGATGCAGCGCTGAGAGCTGCGGGTTCGAATTCCGCACTGAATAAGTATTTGGGCGGCCTACAAATAATTGTTACGACAGAGCTGAATGTTTGCTTTGTATGTAAACTGCCTCCACAATACAGGAGAAAATCCTAGTGAGGGGGTATTTTTTTTAATAACAAATAAATATAATTACAGGGTATAACTCTAAATATTTCTCTTTTATATTTCATAGTCTTTCCTATTTTTTATTTAAACACAGGCACTTTGTCACTCTCATAGCCTTTGTAATAACTTTGACAGTCGTTTTGGTGTACATTATCTTTGGGAATATATATAAATATATATTGTATCTAATTAAGACTTTTGCCATAATCACCAACGACTTAAATAGTAAAGTTGAGGCAAAAGCCGTGCGAAGAAGTGCGAAGTTCAAGTTGTCGAATTGCCGGTTCAACCTTGCTATTACACAATTTTGCAGTTAGTTATAGTGCTTCGCAAACAATATTTAATCTGTGTGTGTATTTATAAATGTGGGCTTCTTTCTTGACGCATGACACCTTAACCCTACAATCCCCATAAAATCCCATGCAGTGCATGCGTCCGTCAAATCCCTAGCGGTCGCATGCGACCGCACACACCCACAGCACTTTAAACCATTAATACTTATTTTTAGGGACTACTTTTTTATGAAGAAGTTTGGTAAATCTATACAAAATTCTCTATCCTGTGGTCTAAACAAAAGTCAGGTTTTACTTCATTACAAAAAGACTTTATTGTATTTTCATAACAATAAACGGGTACATACCAAGCGGATGTCGGCAGCGTGAAAATCACTATTATTTCTATATATTACTCGAAATTATTTACGTAAAAAGATAAATTAAATTCACCCAAAAACTTTCTTACCAATTTTATAATAAAACACTATACTAAAACACTAAAAAAATCCAAATATCAACACAACAAAACATAATAACATCCACACGAAAATGGCATACGTAATAAACGTAGATTATAAATAAATAACCATATAATAACTGACTTTTTATTGCATTAGAGGATAGAAAATTTCATATTGAGCCTATAATGCCAAACTTCTTCATAGAAAAGTAGTCTCTAACCGTAAGTATTTATGGGTTAAAGTGTTGTGGGTGGGTGCGGCCGAATTCGGTCACTTGGTATTTGACGGAATATTGCCGCGACCGAATTCGGCCGCTTGTAGCTAAGAGGTTAATACTGCTGTTCTTTCCCTTTATACACAATTTGCACTAGGGTTTTATTTTTAAAAGTAGTATAATTAGTTTTTGATTGGTCCTTTTACATTCTATAGTATACTATATTGTTTTAGATATAGGGTACAGTTTGCTTCAATGATTAATTTTTTAAATTAAAAATATTAAAATTTTGATGTGATATAAGTGACGGTGATTGCTCTATCAATTATTTGCTATTTTTATTGAAGTAAATTAAGACATCATATTAATTAATATTGGATTAGATTTACTTTTTATTTAGAAATTTGATCCATATTTTATTTATTCTTTGGTGTTTATTTTAAATGTGTATTTAAATTATTAAATCTGTAAGGAATGATTGTTATTTTTAAACCCATAACAAAAGTTAAAAGCCTTTTCATACTTGATTTTTCGAATTGTATACAATTTCGAAAAATTAATTCACGCAGTTTTTTTGTTATGGCACACATAATAGATATCTTTAGAGATGAAGATAGAATAAAAGAAATGTTGTGCATGTTAATTTTGGTTGAAGGTCCCATCAAGGACATCGATGATGCAGCCGAGAGATTCATTGCAGAGCAGAGGAACGCTCTCGCTCGCGCTGCTAGCAGGAAGATAGCGAGGAGATCTCCGCAAAGGTAAAATTTTACATCTCAATTGGAAGTTATTGCAATAGGGCTGGTTTTGTGAAGTTTTGTAAGTGATACAGCCATGTTGCAGTTATATTGTGGTTATAACACGAATGGGTCGGCTCGACCGGGCAAGAACCATGCTCCGTTCGCCAGTGTGAAATAGTAGCTCAATACTGCTGTGTTTAGTATGCTGAGTGTAGAGGACCGGAGACCCCTTTTACTGGAAACGAGGCATTCATCTTTAGTCCTCATGGGTGACGCATCTGATTCTTGATTCCTTATTGAAGATAGATATTTGATGGGTTACAAAATCCACCTATTCTATAAAAAGTTAAAATTTTGATACGAACAACAATATCTTAAGCTGAAGAATGTGTCAACTTAAAATATGTGATATAAGTGTTGTATTTATTTTTTCTATTGACTTGTTTATTATCTATACATCTATATAAATAAATAAAACTGAAGTGTTTGTTTGTAATATCAGAATAACAGCTTTTAACTAAATGCATACGAAACTATATATGGTACTTGTAACTGAAGTACAATTTTTTAAAACTTTGTCTGTCTGTATGTCTGTCTGTTTGTTGCCACAAAACTCTGAAACGACTGGACTGATTACGACTGGACTTCCACTGGCACATAGCTGATTTTATAAGCAGTAACTATGGCTAATTTTATTTTAGAAAAAAGATTTACGAGTTACGCGCAAAAAAATTAAAACCTATGAAATCCATAGTAATAAATTCCACGCGGACAAAATCGTGCGAACACATTTATATAATACCCGTCTCCCACTTCTTGTAGTGATCTGGTAAGAGATGCAGGTGGCGCAGGATTGTTCTTTGTGGCATTCCATACGGGAGGCCTATGTTCAGCAGAGGTCTTGGCAAGGGCGTAATAACAATGAACGTGATATAATTGACTTTCTATATTTTTATGCATTAGGAACATAGAATACTATAATACACAATAGAATGGCTGTCAACTTTCCTTTATACGAGAATTGGCGTCGCCAAATCCGATTCGCTGTGTTGACAGACTGAGTAAATTTACACATTTTAGACTTTTGATTAATGTTTCAAGATCATCATTAAATTTTAATACATATTTATTTGTAAATAGGGTGCAATTTGGCATTTTCTAAATAATTTGCATGCGAAATTTGGAAACGATTGTAACGTCAAAACACATCTCGTGTTGACATTTATACACGTGTGAATCGACGTGTTAGTGACATGTTAGTGGCTACACGGGCTCCATCCACTCCCCCGTTTTATTATGTATGTATTATAGTATTCTATGATTAGGAATGTATGCGAAAATTTCTCTGTTTTACTTTTGTACGATCTCACTGTAAAATAGTTTTTTTTTTACACTCGGTACATGAAAAAATAAAAGGAATATTTAATTGCATTTAAATAAAAATATTGTTTCAGATACATAGAGAACACTACGATTGAGATAGAGAACGAGTTGGCGAGACGCAATGAAGACGAGGAATTACTGCGGCGCCAAGAGGAGTTCATAAACGCCAACCGAGCCGGATTGCGGAGAAGGTGAGTTCTTACTCTTGTGCAGATTGACTTTCTGATGATTCTTAATCGAGGTCGAATGTCTATGGGCCACAGCACCCACTTACCGTTTGGTGAACTATGTGTTCACTCCTCACATTTATCCATAAATAAAATTGTGATTTTACTCAGAACTGTCGTCTCCAAATACAGGATGCAACTGTGAACAAAAACAGAACTGTGTGCTATAGTTGTCTGGCGCAAATGGTCTACCCATTGAGACTAGACTGTGATTAAAATATAGTCAGGAGTATTTTATTTTTATAAATATAATAAGAAAGCTATAAATTTAAATTTAGTCACATGGAGCAGAAAACTTTGTTCCACATTTTGAACAATATTTTAAACAATAATAATTAATAAAGAAATAATAAAAAAAGTAATATAAACAGTAATTAAGTATTATATCGCCCCAAGATTATCCCTTATTCCTCAAAAATTCTGCTATATGCAACATTCCATTTCGTTTTATTGGTGAATACTTTATGGTTATCGAAAAATTTGTAGTTCTTTATCAATAGTCCTTAAAAGTTGCTGGATTTTTTTGTGAATTCAAAAGTTAATCTAATAGAAATTAATCCGCGCCAAAGAGTACAAGCAAGTGTCAATGTTAAACATACTAAAAGTGTAGCGACTTCACCCATTGTGCTACGACTAGTAAAATTCAAGGTCCCTAGTGTAGGGAGAATTAACAAGTTAACGAGTGAAATTTGACCAACTTATAAAATGCACTTGTATTAGTAAAAATTTCGTTACGACCTAAAACTAGCTGTTTTATAACTTTGTATTGTTATTGTAACTTTTAAGGAATAACATTTTATGAAGATAACGATTTATATTAATTACTATTATAGTTTTACATTTTCCTTTGCGAAATAGGCAGGGGGGATCTTTCTTACTCACTTTCGCTTATTTTTAGTTGGGAGTTATTGTAGGCCTCATTCAAAGTATTCATATAAGCTCATATAGTTTCGTTGGTTTACGTGCGCTTAGATTATATTATTTTCAATATCGAAATTTTTTTAAATCTTTTCTGAATGCCACTCCCTATAGGTCTCATTGGAAAATAAGTTTTTCAATTACCATTGTCCTATTTGGGCCAATTTTTAGTCGTTGTTGCGGTCAAACCGCGAACTCACTTAATAAGCTCATTATCAAGAAAGCCCTTTCACGTACTGTGACGGGCAATTACGGAACCCTACTTCTACTTTGTGCGTGACCCGACACGCACTTGGCCAATTTTTTTTAATAAGGGTAACAAACGAGTACACAGTCCACCTGATGGTAAGTAGATGCTATGGCCCATGGACATATACATTTATCCTCGATTAAGAATCAAAATGCAAATGCGTTGTTATCTCCGAGGACTGAGATGGGGTGCCTCGTTTCCAGTAAAAAGAATTTCCGGTTCTCTACACTTACCATACAAAACACATCAGCATGAAGCTGTTATTTTACGTGTACAAGTTATGCAATAATATTATATTTAGGATGCGATCGGCCAGCCCGGTGCGGCGCTCGCCCTCCCCGCGCCGCAGCCCGCCGCCGCGCCGCTCGCGCCCCAGCCCGCCGGACGAGGTACGCACACGACCACCAACATAACCGCCAACATACCAACACATCCACCAACATAATTACACTCGCACCGATATACGAGGTCTGTTCAAAAAGTATCGCGAAATTTAAATTTCCACGAGCTATGTATATTTGATTTTTAATTTTTTTGTAGTCTTATGTTGGTACTCATGTCCCTTACTTTGCTGACAAGGTCGTCCATTTTGAATGTTTAGTTAATTTTTGACAGCTGTTTTGCTTGGATGTGTTTTGGCTCGTCTTCGATTTTTGCCTATTACAAAAAATGGATCAAAGAATCTGTATTAAATTTTATGTGAAAAACAAAATAAAGTGCGCGGCCGCATTCCGAATGTTGACTGTGGCATATGGTGAAGCTACCTTGGACCAAAGCAACGTTTATCGGTGGTACAAAATGTTCTCAGAGGGCCGAGAAGATGTGAACGACGAACAGCGTGCTGGACGCCCGAGCACGTCAATAACAGACGATAACATTGATAAAGTGAAGAAAATATTCCAAAATATCCAATCGTCAAATCACCCTTAGAGAAGTTGCTGAGGATCTAAACATATCGATGGGCCGTCCCATTTGATTGTAAGTAATGGTTTGGGCATGAGTCGGGTCGCCGCGTAATTCGTGCCAAAATTGGTTAATTTCGACCAAAAACAGAATCGCGTTGACATTCTTCAGGAGATGTTGTACTCGGTCCGTGACGACCCAAATGTGCTCCAGAGGGTCATAACTGATGACGAATCATGGGTTTATGTTTATGACGTGGACATCAAAGCTCAATCATCCCAATGGAAGCTGCCGCATGAGCCAAGACCGAAAAAAGCGCGCCAAGTTCGGTCGAAAGTGGAGGTTTTGCTCATAGTTTTCTTCGATTGCATGGGCGTGATGCATCATGAGTTCTTGCCACAGGGTAGTACCATCAATAAGGAATTATTGTCTGCAAGTTATGCGCAATTTGCGCGAAGCAATCCGCCAGAAACGTCCTGATTTGTGGAAGAACAAAAACTGGCTTTTGCACCATGATAACGCCACTGCTCAAACATTGTTGCTTGTGCGCGAATATTTATCCAAAAGCAACTCAACAATGGTCCCACAGCCATCGTATTCCTCAGACCTGGCCCCCTGTGACTTTTTTCTGTTCTCAAAACTGAAGAGGCTTATGAAAGGACGACGCTACGCCGCGATTGAGGGGATAAAGACGGATTCGAAGAAGGAGCTGAAGAAGATCACGAAAAATGTTTTTTTAAGTGCTTCGAAGATTGGAGAAAACGTTGGCACAAGTGCATTATATCCGAGGGGGATTACTTTGAAGGAAACAAAATAGACATTCATGAATAAATAAATAATTTTTGAAAAAATACAAAATTCGCGATATTTTTTGAACAGACTTTACCTACCTACACAACCACCAACATACCAACACAACTATCAATATACCAACACAACTACCAACATACCAACACAACTACCGACATACCAACACAACTAACAACATACCAACACAACTACCAACATACCAACACAACTACCAACATAGCAACACAACCACCAACATACCTACATTCACAACTACAAACACCTACACCAATATACCAACACACGCATCAATATACGTACCGACACATGCATCAATATACGTACACACCCACGTATCAATATATCTGCCAACACAAGCACCAATTTACCTACCAACATGCACCAATATACCCACCAACGACGGTATAACGTACGATTTTTTATATTTAATCAAAAAGAATTATTTAAATAAAAAAAAAATTATAGAATATTTTTATTGGTTTATTGGATTTTAGTATATATAGCCATAAATATATACTCAGTGCATGTTTAAAAAGGAATGTTTGATTAATTTAAAAATCTAATTAAATTATTTTCTAGATAATGTTACAATCATTGGCACTTTAGCATAGTGAATAGCACTATAAATTAAGTATAATCATCTGACCAGGTGTGTGTGATGTGACCAGGGTTCAGAAAGGAATGCTTCGGCGGTTTGGTCATATAGAAATAATGAACGAGAAAAGAGTGACAAAACAAATTTATATTGCACATGTGAACAGTAGAATCGGTAAGGGACACCCTAGACAAAGGTTTATCGAATAAGTTGGCGATATATTGAAAATGAGCCAAATTAGGAGTTACTCTTAAACGAAGAGCGTGTATACGTAGATATATGGATGTAAAGGGGGTAAGTTAGGTGTGTCGATCGTGCTAAATGGAAGTCCGTAGTCTCTGCCTACCCCTTTGGGTGACAGGCGTGAGTGTTTTTTTATAATCATTAGCAATAGAACTAATGATTATAAAACAAACACGTCCTAAAAAGTTTTACCCAGAACTTTCTCAACTCCATTTTATTGTTGTAACACTTATTTTCACAAATCTTCAAATATTTTTCTTAGATCTTCATCTACAAGCAGTTGGTTTGTTTGTTTCTTTATTCAGATAAATTTTTCGATTTGCCTGTTTTAGTAAACCTTTCGTGTCTTCTCGATATCTTGTAGAAATAAAACTTTATTTGGGTTTTTCCTGTTCCATTATGTGTTGATAATTTATTTTCTCTGTATTTTCTTCGATGTTTATTAAAATCTTTTTGTTCTCTGGATTTTTTGTAGATGAAGTCTACAGTCTCTGTTCGTATTTTGTAGTTGGATGGTTACCTATAGTCACAACTTTTTCTGAATTTGTGGTTTTGACTAGTTAGAGAACGAAGAGTAAAGATTATTATTATTATTAACGAACGATTACACATTTAGAGAGTATGAATGTCGGAGTTTATGACTTTGTCCGTTTTGTTTTGTTTGTCAATTTTTTTTCTTTATTCGGCTGAGTAATTCAATTCTGCTTTTGCCATTTGTGCTCTATTTTTTTCATTGTTTTCCTAGCTTCTTCAGTTGTTTTTATTTACCTGCTTTTTGCTTTTTGATTTTTTGATAGCTATTTGGCAACGACAAAAACTCTATAAATATCTTTTAGGGCTTTCTAAAAGATCTCCAACAAATTCCAAATTTGTAGTCTAGTTGATGAAACATATAATGGTTCGTTTTCTTTCTGATACTCAACAATAATCTTTGCAGCTTGCACAGGTTCTGGTAAATGGTAAATGGTTATTCAATAAAAGAATACAAGGCAAATTTAATACAGATATTTCTGATTCAGTCGATATTGGTCGTTATTCTTAAAATATTTGATATTTCATATACACGGAACAGTGTTCATCAATAATGGCTTGCAGTGTTTTCGAGTCTTCAGACACTTTGTGTGTCAAAACCATTTCTTAACTTGGATTTATTTAACTTGGTAAAAGTGTTGCCAATATAGGCCCACATTTGTTTTAGTAGCGTTTTTGTCAAATTGTTTGTCCGCCATTTGAAAACAGCTTTAGCCACAAAGCTTTGATAGGCCGAAATGCAGTGATATCACCTGGTTGCAACAGTCGCGTTGTATTCAGTTTAAAGGCTATGAGTATTATTACGAGACTTGGGAAAATTTGCGCTATATCAAGATGGGTGTGGCTCTTATGACCTCTTGATAATACAAAAAGAATGATTGAAAAATGACATTCTTTATTGTAGAAGTAATGAAAAACGTTTTATTTGTAATAAACAAAAAGTTCTTCCTTTATCCATCTATTTCCTAGTAAGTCAATAACGTAACTTAGTAAATACCCCTCTCTCTAAGCACCAATTTTTGAACGTCTGGTCGCATTTTTATTGGGAGAAAATAATCATAGGTGTTGTCTCTTTACCGTCTACTCCAAAGGATAGTGATGCAAGACTTCGGTTAGGCATGATCTACCTCACTCTATAATTTAGGTGGCAGAGCCATGATGCAGTTATATTAGTAGTATAGTTGTTGCACGAATGGGTCGGCTCAACCGGGGAAGGACCACGCTCTCACAGAATACCAGCGTCAAATAGTAGCTTAATTCTGCTGTGTTTCGTATGGTGAGTGTAGAGAACCAGAGACCCTTTTTACTGGAAACAAGGCATTCCACCTAAGTGCTCACAGATGACAACGCATCTGCATTTTGATTCGTAGTCGAGGATAGATGTTGATGTCTATGGGCCGCAGCAACTACTTACCATCAGGTGGACTGTGTGCTCGTTTGTCACCTTATCCTATAAAAAAAATATATAATTTTAATCTGTGGTAACCGTTAGTTTTTAGTAAAAAAAAAACCTACGGTATACTAAATCTCACATCAGAAAAATTGCAGTGTGCCAAAATGCTATGGAAAGGAGTACGATGGGGAAAAAACTGACAGATAAAATAAGAACTACAACCATAAAGAAACATACCGGAACAAGGGACATTACAGTAACCATAAGAAAACTGAAATGGAAATGGATAGGGCGTACAATTAGGGGCAAAGAAAAATGGTCAAAAACAATAATGTTGTGGTTTACAAGAAACAGGGAAGGAAACGAGGCAGACCATCCATAAGATGGATTGATGAAATAAAGGCTGTTGCAGGTGGCACATGGACAAGAGTGGCTGGTGACAGAGAAAAATGGTCACAGTTGGAGGAGGCCTTTTTCGAAAGAGGCACACAGACAGGGATGTTGAAGTAAAATTAGTCTAAAACAAAAAGAAAATTATAATATGGAATAATGTATCAATTAACATTGTCTGAATAAAAGGCTTTTATTATAATATTATTATTATAACCGTTGTTAACTATGACATCTGGACGTTGAACATCTCACTCCTACCCGCGACCATGGGTGCTCTAAAGTGCTTGAAACATCAGGAATATAAATAAGTTAATATAAGCGATAAAATCCATAGAAACTAGTTTTATTAAAATGTGTAGTGTTCGCGTAAATATAAGAAATAATTATTAATACTTACTTAGACGGACTCCTAGACATAAAAGTAGTACTACTACCTAAAGAACTTGTTTTTTTTTTTTTTTAAAGACAAATGATGCTGGTTACAGGAAAGTGAATACAGAAGACGTCTGAGAGAGCAGGAAAGCTTGCGGGAGAGAGTTCTGCGAGCGAAGGAAGTCAGACGCAGGAAGAACGCAGTCGCCTTACAGAAACAACTACAAGAAAGGTGAGATAGAAAGAAATTTTAACACAAGGACTATTTGGTATTTATCTTTCTGGAAGTTGATGTGCGATTCAGTGGCAAAATAAAACCTGCTGGGGTGCAAACTAAACACAATATTTAAGAGCAGGGCTCTGGATAGTTTTTAAAAAGGAATGATTAACTTTTGTTAACTTTGAGTTCAACTTTTGTAAATGTTATAAAATATTACTAAGAAATCTAGTTCATTTAGATAATACTAGCTGGCCTGATAGACATTGCTCTACCCTTTTCGGTAGAATAATATTTATATATAATAATGATAACAAACGAGCACACAGTTCACCAGATGGCAAGTGGATGCTGTGGCTTATAAAATAATAAAAAATACATCCAGGAATCACAGCATGAGGCAATTAATTTAAAATTTATTTATTAAATGCCATTTGTTTTTTGAGATCATTATCTTAAATTATGTAATTAATTTAATGGTTATTAGACATTACAGTATTATTCAAGTTGAATTTTGTTTCAGGGACCGTGAAAAGCAAGAACCAAAAGATAAAGAGGTGCCTAAACCAGAGAATTTGAAGTCAGTCGAGACCAACACGGACAATAAACCAACAAGTACACAGCCGGACAAGCCGGACACTACGAGGAAGTCACCGGAGAAAACTGAAACTGTGGAGAAAGTGGACAAGACTAGAGAGAGATCTCCAATTAAGGTGGTGAAGGACGATGCAGAAGTCAATTCTACGTGTGGTATGTTATTTTTTTTATAGAATATTAAATAATTATTTTATTTAATAGTCCACCTGATGGTAAGTGGATTCTGTAGCCTATAGACACATCTATCCTCAATTAAGAATCAAAATGCAGATGCTAGTAAAAGGGGAATGTTAATTATATTAACAGAGCCCTAGTGCTAGATGATTGTTTATGTGGTAGAACCATACTGCACCTATATAAGTAGTATAGTTGTAGTACGAATGGGTCGGCTCGACCAGGGTAAGGCCACACTCTCACAGAATACCAGTGTAAAGTAGCAACTTAATGCTTTGTTACGTATGGTGAGTGTAGAAAACCAGAGACTCTTTTTACTGGCAAGGAGACATTCCATCTTAGTTCTCAGGGGTGACAACACATTTGCATTTTGATTCGTAATCAAGGATAGATTTAGATGTATATGGGCCATAGCAAATACTTACCATCAGGTGGATTGTGTGCTCGTTTGTCATCCTTCTCCTATAAAGAAAAAAAACTTATAGGTTGAAGCCAACATCTCTGCCGTTCAGATATGCTGTTTAACCGTCTCTCCAGCAATGTAACAACATTATTGCATGTTACATTGCTGGTTTTCAGATCTGGTTAAATTACGATTGTCTCGGTATCTCTGACTCACCACATCCTACCTATAGTGATAGAAATTTCGTGGCAAATACCTGTAAAAATGTTTAGATAGCTTACATATAAAAATAACGTAATATAATTATGCTTCAAACTATTTAATAATACTTTATTTTTAAAGTTAATATTTTTTCTGTATCCTAACACTGTCATCATTAGCTGAACATAGGCCCGCAGCATTTTTTTCATTGTTTTGATTTGTTATCAGGAAGATGCTCTTTCCCATCTCATATTTTATTTCCTTATACTCCCACTCATCCTTGCTTGATGCTATAGTCAGCTTTCATTACAATATAGTAGTTTTGCGTACTATGTAATATTTTCTTTAGAATTATATTATTTGGACCCCTAATCATCATCATCATTACAGCGCAACACAAGTAAACTGCTGCACATTGTGATCATAGACTTTCTGCATCTCTTACCAGGTTGTCACTCTGTCTAGTGGAAAACTATTCTACACTTATCCTACCAATACTAGGTTGCCATATGAGTACCTTTCTCACGAATTGCATGTCGGTTTTTTGACCATTGTATAATAGAAAAAATAAAATAAAAGTTACAGCCTATATACGTCCCACTGCTGGGCACAGGTCTCCTCTCATTACTCCGTTTTAGGGCAAGGAATAGTCCGCCGCGCTGCCATAATGCGTGTTGGCGAACTACACATGTCTCCGATATTTTTTCTTATTTCTCAGACATGCAGGTTTACTTGATGTTTTTCTTCACCGCCGAGCACGTGGTAAATCAGCACTTAAATTTGCAATTAACAATTACATTGGTGCCGGCGGGGATCGAACCCAGGTTGCTCGCGTACTGCGAAACTTAAAGTTAACGCTTAGCCCCTGAGCTACCACGGCTCTAATAAAACAAAATAATACATTATAAACCAGATTATTTGTTTATATCTCTTTTACTGTCAAAGTATTATTTTTATCAAGTTTTTGATCATGTGTGTTTATTTTAGAAAACCTTACACCACCGAGAGAAAAAATGCCACAAAAGGAGAAAATAATTTCACCGGAGAGGGACCTGACTCCACCTCTGCCGGACACTGTGAAGCGACAGGACACCAAGATGGACAGCGACGATGAGCTGGACCTCATTCTGGATGACATAGATGATATACTTTCCGATGATGAGGACAGCGGACGATTTAAGGAAAAGCCTAAAACGTAAGTACTTAGACTAAGAAATTGTGCAAAAGTAGACTAATATTTCTATTTATTATTGCCAAAACTACACACAATAATGAGCTCACACCTTGAGATTGCCTCGTTGGTCTGGTTCAAATCAGAATCCAATTGATCAAAAATCTGTTGTTGTGTTTTCCTGTCAAGACATTCTCAATAGCAGCCTGGAGTCAAGAAGTTAGTGGTGTTTTAGTGAGTCTCGGTAAACATGTTAAGCCGTTGATCCTGCCCACTGACCTCTATATATGGGTACTTGTATATATAGAGTCAGTGATCCTGCCCCTGATCTCCGGTCGTGTCAGATTACCGTCCTATCGGACTGTGAGAGAGAGAATAGAGAGTGTACCTGAGCTTGCGCATACACTTGAGTACTATAGTGCAATCCTGTGCAGATGATGGATACTATATTTAAAAAACTACATGACAAGTTCCATTAAAACAGAGTTGCTTGCAACACTACTATCTTGAGACTTATCAGTGTGCTAATGTCGGAAGTATAATATTATCTTGTTATTTTATTAATATAAGTATTTTTAGATTTATCAGATCAAAAATTGTATACAGAGTGGAGCCTCCAAAGCCGAAACCTCAAGTGGACCTTCGCAGCAAGCTACCTCCAAAATCGACGGAGACCAAAGCACCCAGACAGAAGATTGTCTTCAACGAACAGAAGGACGACAAGAAAAAGAAAGGTTCGTACTATAAAAGATACTAGTGGTCGCCTAGTGGTCGAAGTTCGACCGTAATTAATTAAACTTAGGTTTGTATATTAACCCTTCAAGCGCCATAAAAATCCCATCTAGTCGCATGCGCCCCGCAAATCCCGAGCGGTCGCATGCGACCGCACCCACCCACAGCACTTAAAATCATTAAAACTTATATTAAGAGACTACTTTTCTATGAAGAAGTTTAGCATTATAAAATCTATACAAAATTCTCTATCTTGTGGTCTAAACAAAAGTCAGGTTTTACTTCATTACAAAAAGATTTTATTGTATTTTGGTAACAAAAGAAACATTCAAAGCGAATGTCGGCAGCGTGAAAATTCAATATATATTACTCGAAATTATTTACGTAAAAAGATAAATTATATTCACACAAAAACTTCCATTACAATTTAACAATAAAATAACATAACATAACATAACGTGAGTGTTTACATAACATAACGAACTGACGTAACGCGCGTTTTGTTTATTTTAAAGGGATGAATTTGCAAAAGCTCAATAGATTTTGTAATTTAAGCCTTTTGACACTCGGCTCATATATGAGGTCATTGTCCGTTTTTCTCAATCGATTTGTCACAAAATATAGTTCGAGTACCATAACATACATAAACACTCACGCCTGTCACCCAGAGGGGTAGGCAGAGACTACGGACTTCCATTTGGCACGATCTTGACACAACTCTCTCGCCTCCTTTACATCCATATATCTACGCATACATGCTCGTCGGTTAAGGGTACTTCTAACGTGGCCCATTTTCAAAATATCGCCAATTTGGTCGATAAACTTTTTCCTAGGGCGTCCCTTCCCGACTAGGCCGTTCACATCTGCCATATAAATTTGCTTTGTCACTCTTTCCTCATTCATTCTTTCTACGTGACCAAACCACCGAAGCATTCCTTTCTTAATCCTGGTCACAACATCATCTTGCATACCACATTTATCTCTTATCACGCAATTTCTCACCCTGTCATTCAGATTACACCCTAGCATACTCCTTACAGACCGCATTTCTACAGCATTTGTTCTACTTTCGTGCTTCTTCTGCCACACCCAGCTTTCACTACCATACATTAAAGTAGGGACTAACACAGCATTATGAATTACCATACGTGCCTTTTTTGACACATTCTGGTTCTTCATAATAGAGTGTAGTGCCCCATTCACTCTATTCCCTGCATTTACTCGTCGTTCTATATCCCTATCATATCTACCATCCCTGCTAAATACACATCCCAAATACACAAACTCATCCACTTGCTCAATCAACTCTCCTTCTATTCTTATTTCACATACCGTTTTTCTTTCTTCTCTTTCAAAAACCATCACTTTCGTCTTACTTGCGTTCACTTTCATTCCCCTTTCTTTTAATTCCCAGTTCATTAATGTAACCATCATTTGCAACTCTGCCGCCGATGACGCAAGTATGACTTGATCATCGGCATACAAAAGGCATTTGACGGTTAACTCGCCCATTCTTAACCCACATTCTTCATCTTTCAAAGTTTGCAAACACCGGTCCATAAATAGGTTGAACAGCCAAGGGGAAGCCACACAGCCCTGTCTGACACCTTTTTGGATGCCAAACCAGTCCGAGTAGACCCCATTGATCCTGACACAAGCACTAGAGTCCCTATAAAGAGACCTTAATGCCTGTATCAAACCAGCGCTCAACCCATATGAGTTCAGTGTTTGCCGTAACACATTCCTGTCCACTCTGTCATAAGCCTTTTCCAAGTCCATGAACGCACAAAAAACTTTCTGGTTTTTGGCCAAAAACTTCTCCGCAATCATGCGCATGGAAAAGACTTGATCTGTACACCCCATTCCCTTTCTAAAACCCGCTTGCACATCCCAAATTTTTCCATCAGTTTCTTTCATAACTCTTTCAATTAACACCTTAGCATACAGTTTACCCACAATACTAAGCAAGCTGATACCCGGTGGTTTTTGCAGTCCTGCTGTGACTCTTTTCCTTTATATATTGGTACTATAACTGCTTTACACCAGTCATCCGGTACCCGTTTTAATTCCCAACATAAATTAAACAAGGTGTACAGCAGGCCTGCCACCACTCCCTCTCCAGCCCTTAGCATCTCGAGTGATACTCTATCATATCCAGCTGCCTTACCTGCTTTAATGCTTTTCATTGCTTTCATTATTTCATCTACACTTATCTCCATACCCCTTTCCACTTCTTTCGGAATTTCTAGTTCATTTAATTCATACGACTCTTCACTCATAAACACGCTTTCAAAGTATTCCTTCCATCTGTTTAAATTCGAAACTTCGTCATTCAGAATACATCCATTCTCGTCTCTTATAGCATTTATTATAGGCTGTTTTGTATTTCCCCTGGCAGTTCTTACGAGTTTCCAGAACATTTTTATGTTAGCCTGGAAATTATCAGATATCCTTCTATCATTCTTATCCGTTCTTTCTTTCTTTTTCCTTTCAACAACTTCTTTTACTCTCTTATTTAGACGTCTAAATTCTGCCTTTTTTCTTTCAATCTCATCATTCATACCAGAAGAATTATCAGCTTTGGTTGCTAGTAAATCTAACCATGCTTTCTTCTTTGATTCAACTTCCACCCGTACCTCATCATCCCAACATAACGTAAACATAACCCATAACAATAAAATACTACACTAAAATACTAATAAAACACTAGAAAAATCCAAAAATCAACACAATAATATTCACGCGAAAATGGCGTACGAAATGAACGTAGATTATAAATAAATGTTCATAGGATAAGTTTTTTTATTGCACTAGAGGATGGAGTATTTCATATTGATTCTATAATGCCAAACTTCTTCATAAAAAAGTAGTCTCTATACATACGTTTTTATGGGTTAAGGTGCTGTGGGTGGGTGCGACCTCATGAGACCGCTCAAATCCCTAGTATTCGATGGAATATGGTCGCGGTCTCATGAGACCGCTAGGGGGTTGAGAGGTAAAGCAAGCTGTATTTCACTTTCAATTGCACATCCTTTATGTATATAATGTTCTTTTGTTTGTGTGTATGTGAGTGAAGAAGTAAAGTAAACGGAAAAGAAAACGAAGGAAAGTAAACGGTTGGTCTGATTTTGACGAAATTTTGTGTGTGTGATTAAGTTGATTCGAAAATGGTTTAGAGTCTCAATTCGATCCGGTAGGTGGCGCTATTGTCTAGATCCAGAAATCACCGGTGTAAAGTCGGGGTGGATCGCTTGATAATATATAAAACATACCTAAATAATACACAAAATATAAAATAAACACTGTTGATCACAGACTCTTAAGTGTTCAACATTGGCCCTACAGTACAAACATACGAGGGTTTATCCAAAAGTATTGATAATTGGTTATTTCCATTATCATCATCATTCATCATTCCACCCCTTCACAAGTCCACTGCTGAACTGCCTACCCCAAAGAATGCCAAAAAGCCTGAGCCACCTGAACCCATCAATTTCCTGCATGTCTTACCAGGTTGTCACTCCATCTAGTGGGGGGAAGCCCTACACTTCGCCTGCTGGTACGAGGCTGCCACTCGAGAACCTTTCTTACCTATCGGCTCTTCGAGCTATATGGCCAGCCCAGTGCCACTTCATCTTAATAATCCGTTGGGCTATGTCGGTCTTACTACGTAGGCGATATGAAGATTGCGCGAGGCTATTAAGGAAAAAGGACGCGGCAAACTGCGAGCTGGAGTGCATTTTCACTAGGACAACGCTTCGGCTCGCAAAGCCGTAGTTGCAATGGCTACTGAAATGAGAATTGTATTGCCCGAGGGTCAAGATAAAGATCTTTTCCTAAGGCAGTCCTGGGTTTAAAAAAAAAGATGAACTTAATGTATTGACTTGTTACTTTTGCATCACCTCTCGTATGCTTGTAACTTACTCTGAAACATTGAATGTCAACAAACGCCATAATTTTTCTAACCGACTGTTGTACGAGAGGAGGTCAAAAATTTCGCGGAATGACAGGGAAGGATAATGAAATGAAACATTAAACTATTTTTCCTTTTCTATGTATTCTCCCTTAACCCTAATACATTTATTAGATCTGTCAAATAACTTATTAATACCGTCTAAAAAAAAGATTTGTCTTGGGCGTCAAAATAGGCTGAAATTGCCGACTTCACTTCATCATCGTCGCCAAATGTTTTTCCACGTAGTTCTTTCTTCATTTTTGGAAATGAATAATAGTCGCTTGGGGCCAGGTCTGGGCTGTAGGGTGGATGGCGCAGTTGTTCCAAATCGCACCGGTGAATGGCACCCGTCGAAACATGGTTTGTGTGCACGGGCGCATTGTATGATGGGCGCATAACTTCCTCTGCTCTCCACAGCGGTCCAAACACTCGCGACAACTTTCGGCGCACCCATCTTGCACAGCCTGGTAACGGCCAAGCTGTTTGTACGTTTAAACGGTTGTTTCTGATCCTCTAACTAATGCTGCAAGCTGTTTTTTCTTAAGTCGGGCATCATCCGATATAAGTTTTTTAACTTTTTCGATTATTTCTGGCGTGTTAGCCTCGACCGGTCGTCCAGGTCCGGGGGCGCCTTCAATGGAGTCCCTCCCTTGTTTGAAAAGGGTGTGCTATTTATAAATCATAGTTTTCCCAGGAGCGGAGTCCCCATAAACAGCTGACATCTCTTGAAAAATGGTTTGAGGTGTCTATCTTTCTTTGGTGAAAAAATTTAATAACGGTGAAATATTCAATTTTCTCCATAGTGGTTAGTTGTTTAATCGTTGATAACTCAAAAGCTAGTGAGTCCAATTTTGAATTTAAACCATTGAAGGATTTATTCAAGTACACGCAAAAAATTATCAAAATCAGTCAATTTTGTTTGAACGAGTTTTATTTAAATGAATTTTTTTCTAACAATAGTTTATTGTCTTTTGCAGAGAAGTCTCCAATACGCAGAACCGTGGTGACCAGTTCAACCAAGGTTGAGGAGAGCAGGGACAAGAAGTCCGCTAAGGTATGTTGTGATCATTCATATTTAAGCGTGTGCTGGTCAGTTATTTAGCCGTGTAATGGCAGTGTAAGAACATCCACTTCCCCATGTGTCGTGGGTGTCAGAAGAGGCGACAGAGGGAAACAAATCAAAGGAAATAGGTAGCAGCTTCTTCTTAATAACAATTAGAAGAAAAATACTGCGGTTGCCAACCCGCCTGCCAAGTGTGGCAACTATGGTCACTAAGTTCCTTGTGAAGCATTCTATAGGAGATCTATTTTTTTACAGTGGACTTTAATAGGATGTAATGAATGGATGAAGGTATTGTTACGAGCATGGGGTTCGTGACAGTAAAAACTGGCGATTGAACTACCAAAATTGACACTTTAATTACCGAACATTAATTACCACTTAAACTCTAAATAATAAAACACAGTTGTACTACTGATCACTTTAGTTCGTAGTTATATCGCTTCGAAGTATTCGCTTGAATTGCCAATTCAATACTCACCCGGGTCGCGGTATATACCGGTCTTGTATAGAGCCTCTTCTACTGAAACATCTAGAATGTTCGAGTACTTACCGCTCCCGACTGACTAGGTGTAGAAAGTTCTGGCATGGTAATCTCTAGAAGGATCTTGACTCTTCTAGTTCTGCTACTCTATACTAGAGGGCGCTAGTGGTAACTAATGTCGCGATGTACCAGCGACAGTTGTAGTTGTAGTTAATGAACTATACGCTTACGAACGCATCACTAAGCGGAAGCAAATGATTTAACAATTCTGCCCTTCTTATGAAGAGTGCAATAACTTGGATTTCGCTGCTTTTTTTTTTTTTTTTTTATAGGATAGGGTGACAAACGAGCACACAGTCCACCTGATGGTAAGTGGTTGCTGTGGCCCATAGACATCTGCATCTATCCTCGATTACGAATCAAAATGCAGATGCGTTGTCACCCGTGAGGACTAAGATGGAATGGCTCGTTTCCAGTAAAAAGGGTCTCCGGTTCTCTACACTCACCATACGAAATACAGCAGCATCAAGCTACTATTTCACGCTGGTATTCTGTGAGAGCGTGGTCCTTCCCCGGTCGAGCCGACTTTCGAGATAATCGCTGTTAAAAGATTTAATTCTTGTTTTGTCTGTATGTTCGTAACTATGACAGCTATTTGCTTGAAACTTTTACTATATGACAGATCAAATGATGCAGAATTCTTTGTAGTATATTATATTTGTACATACATTTATATAGACTTTAAAAACACAATAGTGTATTTATCTGTAGGGCTGTTAATTGTTTTGATAAAGAGTTACTAATCATAACCGCAATAAGTAGACTATTTATTGCAGTTATCGTTAGTAAACTGACAAATTGTTATTTTGAGTAGCATAAACTGTATGTCCTGTAGTTACTTTCCAACCATTAGTGCAATAAATGTCTTAGTTATTGCGGCTTTAATTAGTAATCAGACACAATGCAGCGGTGGTTGATTGCAAGCATAATATTATAAGTTTATATGAAAAATGATTAAAACATAATTATATTTATATTATTAAAACATAATTATATTATAATAATTATTAATTAAATTAACTGTTGTGAAAAATGTTACAAAAATATCACTTTACCACCTAAAAATAAAAATTCAATCCCTTTAGGTCACTTTAAGTGTTTTCTTTCACGAAAATTATGTAAGCACGACTCAAGGAACTTTGCAATTGCACATATTAAAAGTAAGATAGGTTTTTATTTTTTTCCTAGGATATAAATTTTTTTTACTTAATCTACTAAGGCATATTATGAGATCAATCTTAAAGTCAATCTTAATTCGTTTAAAGTAACTTAAATTTCAATGTAAAGAAAACATTGGAATCTGAGTAAAATGTATGTTTAACATGTCTGAGTTTAATGTATCATAGTAGTATTTAGTCACTGGGTAAATAAAACTTATTGGGGGCATGTTCGCGGCGATAATGTAATATTGTTGGATTGAAACTTTGAATATGTTCTTTAATTATGTGTTTGTCTAATGAATTTATATTTGTCTCTTTGGTCACATTTTGATGAAATACATTTCTTTCTTTGGCGGTTACACTGTGCATTTTTTCCGGGTTTTTACGGGTTCAACCATCCCTTTTATAAACAACCCTCTTGATTCCCAATTTTAAATTTGTGTACCAATCGTGGATATCTATTCAAATTTTTTCTGCAACCTATGTCATACACTTTTTTCCACATTAATCATCACATAGTGGTAATAATGCTAACTCTGCATCAGCGCTTTCTTCCTTCTGTTTATTGCGTTGTCTCAATGGAATATTACATGCACGCCTTTTCCTTGGTAGACCTCATTTGGTAAATCCTTTTAGATTTGCAGGTAATATTGATGGTGACTCTATTTGTATACGCATCTTCAATTTAATTTTCTAGTCCATCAGTGACACATTCCCCTTCTTTCTTTTTTTTGTTTTATTTAACTTCTGGTGTAGAAATTAATCATCTTTGAGGTCACAAGTGCTAGCATCAGGCACTATATATCCAGTTATAACATAAATCCTTTGGTCCTTCAATGTATTTTTTGAAAATCAGATAAAGAATTTGATCCATTGTTTTGGTCTCTGTGATTGTCTTTAGATGTTTTATGATTAATTGTGAATTTCTGCATTAGGTTTTATATTTGTTGTACTAGTTTCATTGCAGGTGTAAAAATCATAGTTGGAATTCATGAAAAATCAAGTAAATATTCTTTGTTTTTGACGCTATCGGCGGAGTCCTCAAACATAACTTTACTATTGTCACAGTCATACGTGGTAAAGCCATACTGCAGCTATATTAGTAGTATACTTGTGGCAAGAATGGGTTGGCTTGACCGAGGAAGGACCACAATCCCACAGAATACCGGCGAAAAATAGCAGCTTCACGCTGCTGTGTTTCGTATGGTGAGTGTAGAGAACCGGAGACCCTTTTTACTGGAAAGGAGGCATGCCATCTTAGTCCTCAGATAACTAGCATTTGCATTTTGATTCGTAATCGAGGATAGATGTATATGTCTATGGGCCACAGCAACCGCTTAATGATTTCTTATATTTACGCGAACACTACACATTGAAATAATACTAGTTTTTACGGAATTTATCGCGTATATTTAACTTTTTAATTACCCGACGTTTCGAGAGCTTTACAGCACCCATGGTCACGGGAAGGACTTAGATGTTCAACGTTCAGTTGTCATAGTTAACATCAGTTAAACAACATCATAGTGAACAAAAGTTAAATTTTAATCTATGGTAACCGCGGTTAACTATGACAGCTGGACGTTGAACATCTCAGTCCTTCCCGTGACCATGGGTGCTGTAAAGCTCTCGAAACGTCGGGTAATTAAAAAGTTAAATATACGCGATAAATTCCGTAAAAACTACTATTATTTCAATAGCAACCACTTACCATCAGGTGGACTGTGTGCTCGTTTGTCACCTTTCTCCTATAAAAAATCATCTTCGTCGAGCAATGGAAGGATTTCAAGTCATTTTAAAGAATTACGTGTAACAAACTGTTCTCTTTGTTGAGTTTTAGAAACCAGAATATTAAGATCAATATCTCGAACCACATTAAAAGAATTACTAAATTCATTTTGTAAATGAAAAACGCCCCTTGGCACCTCTTTAAAACTCATAGCCGCCATAACTCGAAGACAAATTGTGATATAGTATTTATAGCTATTCAAATCTTGTCTGTTTTTCCTTCAAATAATTGCAATAACTTTACTTGTTATTATTAGAAAAAGTCAGCTTAAAATTTTAAATAAAAAGATTCCTTAACATATCTGCAATAACTTTTACTTGTTGCACTTATGACTAGTAAATGTGTCTTAAATTGAAAAAATGCGCTAGTCATAAATGCAATTGTTAGACTTATTGCGGTAATCTATAGAATAATCACAAAATATTATAGCTTACCTTGCTATAACTCAAGTCTTCATGTATGCAACTTACAAAAGGTATTATTAGATATTGCAGTTATGTTTAACAAAAGAACCGAATCTACCGTTAATACAAAAAAGACGTCTAAGAAGATAATATAGAGCTCATTTTCCTGATTACGGATATGTACTTAAGTCAAAAAGCCCAAAAACGAGTTATTGCACCTATCGTAAGGACGGCAGAATTATATAGCATATAGCTTTAACAATCGACAACCGATAGGGAAGAAAGGTACTTGAGTGGCAGACTCGTATTGGTAAGTGAAGTTTAGGGACGGCCCCCCAATAGATGGATTGACGTTGTGGATGTCCTCCTTACCGTTTAAAAAAGTTTTACTCCATATAAATATAAAGTTGAATTGTCGCTTTCAGACTGAAAAATCGAAAGAGGAAGAGAAACCAAAATCGCAAACCTTCACCAACCGTCGCGTTATCCTCCAACGTAAGACCAATCCACCCCCAACAGCCGGGATCTTTAGCCGTGCGGTCCGGACCGCGATCGGATCGGACCGGACCAGATTGCTCGTAAAACGGTCCGACGAGCCGGAAGTTGAGTACGCCTCGGACTCGGACGATGATACGGCAACTCCCCCGGCTGTGGTCGTGGGCAAAATGGCCCACGTGGACAACCTGCCCCACGGCATCACGGACACCAGGCTCCGGACCCTGGCGGGTGATCACGTGCAGGTAATTTGTCTGTTAGGATGCTGATGTACATTTAGTGGTTTGATGTATCGAAAAGGAATGTTTGTATCTTTATGTATATATGTCGGAGAAACACAATTCTCCTCGATATCGTCATCGGTGGCCACAGGTCTAGTGGGCGTCATTAGGGTTAAATGCGAGCACAAAACAAAGTATTCACTGTATTTCGTCCCCGTAGAGCGAAAAGTCATTAAGACGAAAAATCGTGTTTCGAGATAATGAGAGTTAAAGTTTTTGAAAATAAAATCGTTATAACATTGGCTTATCTTTACATATCTTTACGTTTTTAGCTTTAATTTGAAGGAAATAAAATAAATAATATACTATAAGAGAAAAAACACGTGAAAAATCTCTAATAATTGAGAAAAGCTAAAAACATTTAAGTAATTAATTGTTTTCTATCAAATCTATGATTTAGTTGCGAATTAGTTAATTTTCGAACGTAGTTAGTGACTTGTCTCTCAGTTCTAAATTATTTTGAAGAAAATTAACTAGACTTAAGTAAAGTCGAACTTACTATTAGGTGTACAAAACATGTATTGTAAATACTACTTAACTGAATATTCGAAACTTGTATGTTAAGTTTTGTCTTAAATATAACATGATTAAGTAATGAAACTATTGTAATATATTCAATCAAGATTTATTGAAGCAATTATTCGAAAATATCAACCGAAATCAACAAAATACAATTAGTGTTAAATAAAAACAAAAAGTGCAACAACCTCATGCACACAAACTGAAAAGTGATAGAACTAGTAGAACATAGTTATTAAAAAATAGATTTCAGTCGACTACTTCTTCTCCCTCCTCAGTGACGTCTGGCTCCAAAATTCTATCTACTACGTCTTTACTTGTTGGTAAAGACTGGATACCACAAGTGGAGCTCTTGTGGAATTATCCCCTTTGCACATAAATTATTGAGGTCTTTCTTTTTTGCCTCTGAAATAGGCAGCGGCGAGGAGTAAGCATTTTATAATTTTTCAATACTTGCATCAGTTCTTCTGTCCCTTGTCCATCCGTTTGTTCTTCTAGTTTCCTCCTCTTTCTAGTAATAAGTGTAGATTTTGTCGGACATTCTAAAATATTAAATTCTAGGTAGGGACCATCATGTTGATATCTAAACTTAACAAGACCCGGGCATTTTCTCTCGAAACGAAGACACTTAATTTTTAGCCCTGTAATTTTATTGCCTTCTTTATCTCTGCTTGTATTTTTTGCTATTTTTTCATTAAGAGCTCTTACATCAACCATTTCCGTGTATTTTAATTCTTTAACTGTATAAGGTGGTGCTGAATCCCTGTCTCTTTTAGAGCGAGCACGTTCCATGATCGACTTCCAGTCAATCATGGAATAAACAGGCGTATGTCTTTGCTGTCTTTCTATTGCACTATGCATGGAGTCCACTTCCATATGAGTGTGACCACTCTCTAAATATTTTTGCTCTATAACTTCCAGCTGCCCATCCATCCTTTGAATCAAATGAACCAAAAATGCCGCGATAAATTGGTTTCTATTTTGCCCAGCGCACGTGTCGCTATACATGATGATTTCTTTAATATTGGTTGGTATCTGACTAATCCACCAGTTAATTGCACTGGCAATTTCCACACTGCCCCTTTTACCATTAATCTCATTCCAAGTTATACAAAATGATTCAAGAGGTGGTTTCGACGTGTAAATTGTATAATTTTGTATGTTTAATTTTCTGGTGTAATATAAAATACCAACACCACTGACTAGTATATGCAAAGTAGACTGCATGTCTGCAGTTATGACTAGGTAATTTTCATCAATAATAGACCGCTGTTTGTCCGATTCTTTCGCTTGCTGTGCTTCATTTTGGCACTGATACCGGCATTTTACGTAGCACTTTACGGGCTTAGGTTTCTTTGCAGGCATGAGATAGCCCTTTTTACCCAAATAAGGCAAACCTTTTTGTTTATTAGATTTAGCTATGTTTTTTTTTCCACTTGCTAGGATCGCTTTTTTTCCAACGCGTAGTTTCAATAATATTGTTTGAAGTAACAACGATTGGAACTGGCTGTTCAGTTAATTCTTGATTGTCTACAGTGACATTACCAGATGAATCAGAGTTGGAAGATGGTAAAGTAGATTGTTGAGGCACGGAATATTGTTTATTTCTTGATTGAAAGTCGTGTTTAATGTTTATATGCTGAAAACATTCAAGCCCCCGACTATCTGCTATCTTCGAGCGCGACGCAATAAATGTACTTTCTTCACTATCGCTCTCACTAGAAGATTTCGCAACATACACTCGTCTTTTCTTTTTGAAACATCTATCCTCTTCACTATCTAGAAACCATGAAACGCTCGAATCAGAAAACACTCGAACAGGAGAAGAACTCAACTCTTCGATACCGCTTATTTCTGAATGTGGACTTTCACGAGACTTTCTAATTTCGGTGTAGTTTTGGTGTGTTTTACATGATACATTTTCTTCTCTGATCAAATTCTCAACGGAAACAATATCATGGTAGGTTTCAGCCAATAAAGGAGCGGAGTATGGTGGATTGATACTTGTAGATCTCTTTTTGGACTTACTATTGACGCAGATGGTGGTGCAGATTCATATAGATTATTGATTTGGAACAGATCAAACTTCCTCTGGTCGAGCAGCTTAGATTCCTGAAATAAACAATTAGGAGAACGTTAGACATGATAAATACTGATACTATAAAAATAATAAAATAATGTCCACATGTTAGACTAAACAAACAAATGCTAGAAAGCATCCTTATAAATACAATAGGTACACCTAGTGACACAACCTAGCACCTCTATTACGGGGTGCGAGAAAATAATAATTAATTAATAATTTCTGAAGCTACTTGAGTGTACTCATTTCTTTTAAGTCAAGCATTAAGAAAAACCACACAACAAGGCAAGTAATCCAAGAGTCAAATAAATAGGTAAGCAACACCCAAATAATACGTATCATAGTAATTACTTTCATCAAAGTCATCACTTCACGAAATCTATACGGACAGCAGATTCCTATAAAATAACATTATTATAATATTTATGTATGTAAATAACGTACATTAATAAAATTGAAACACTTTTAAAATACGATACACATCTAAAAGATACTTATAAACTAAATAAAAATATACTTAACACACTTACCTCTACAACAGTTTTTTCATTTTGATTCAATAAATCAATAATAAACTTAGCACGACTCATTGTTACACAGTGCGTTGTTTACGTAATTTTAACAACAACGAAAAACGTGTTTATGTCAGTCGACTTCGACTTCGCGAATGAATCGTCACACGTCGCGCTCGTCACTGTAGCCGCGACAAACTCACTAACTCGTGGGCGAAATGTACCTTATTTGTAACAAAGTACGTCGAAGTTGTATAAATAATAATTAAAAGACTTTAATTATTATTCGCAATAGATTTTATGTTCCATTTTTAAAATACAATAAAACATTAAAACGGATTGATGATTTTTCGCTTTTGTAGTATTGTACTAATCATTTTAAAAAAAAAGAGTGAATAGTCACTAAGTAGAGTTAGTTAATTATTGCTTGTGTGTGTTTTAGCAAACTACTGACTTTGAAAACTTACTAAATAATTTTAATGACTTTTAAGACTATCTAAAATCTTATGTATGAATTGATAATACAAGAAAAAAAGTAATTAAGTCGTTTTAATTTCGGGTGATGTAAATTTTCGATAAATGTATAATAATTTACTAAATTAGTTATTTCTCCCATTACGCTTTGAGATCCAAAGGGTAGACTTACTTACTTTTCACATTTCGTAAAACAAAAGCGTGAGCAGCTACAAAAATGTCGGTAAGACAGATATTTAGCGAACAAAATGTTGATTTTAGTGACATTGATAAGTCATTTTAGCCATTTTTAGACTTAATGACTTTTCGCTCTACGGGGACGATTTGTACAATTTAATAAAAATTTAACAATTTTAAAAGTCACTAAAGGAATTACTACTTTGCAATCACTTATTTTAAATTTAAAACGTTTAATATAAACAAAGTACGAGCAGCAGGTTCGCGACACCGATCTCACGACTTCACCGTACGAACACCAAAAAAGGAATGAATCTTCACCACGATCCACAAACACTAAAAAAGTCTAATCGTGCGGTAACCGTCAAAATGACGCCTCGACCCCACTCGAGGTTTACCCTCTGCTCTGATTGGTCACAACATATATGAAGCACAATACAGTAACTTTAATGAGATTAAATAAGATTCTACACACATTGAAATTAGGATGTTTTTTAATTTCAATAGCCTCACGTATCATCCTTGGTAGGAATCGGTGTTCTTTCGCGAGGATTTGTGGTCTATCAAATCTGATGTAATGGTTGGGGCCGTCTAGGATATAATCGCAAACTGCAGACTTCCCGGAACGTTGATGCTTCACACAAGTCTAACCATTACATCAGATTCGATAGACCACAAATCCTCGCGAAAGAACACCGATTCCTACCAAGGATGATAACGTGAGGCTATTGAAATTAAAAAACATCCTAATTTTAATAGAGAAGGAGGCTGGGTACTACCACCTGCTTGGGATCCTATAATCAATAAAATTAAAACTAAACCCAAGCATATCACTGCAAGACCTCAGGTCACATAGTCAGTTCATTTTGCATAGATTGGACCATAAACAATAATTAAAAAAGCTGAAGGTACTCCGGGTTTAACAATGACATCAGGACGTCAGTCATCTCAGTCCCCCGTGACCATGGGTGCTGGAAAGCGCCCGAAACGTCGGGAATTAAAAATAATAGTAAAATAAACGCGATAAAATCCGTAAAAGTAGTTTTAATCAATGTGTAGTGTTCGCGTAAATATAAGAAATCATTAGGAAATATAGTTCGGCCACTCCTGACAATGTGAACATGTGTTTTTGAACAAAGTCTATTTTACCATACTAAACTTATAATAGGTGCTTACAAAAAAACCTCAAAAAGGAATCTATTGTAATTAACTTGTTCACTTGCTGTTTTCATATCAACAGTTTCCACACCACTCGTACATTAAACTTAGATTAAATTAGAGATTTGATAAATCTTATTTCAAAGTTAGGCCGCCGAATTTTTAAAAGTATTCTGTACATAATAAGTGTAAATCAAACAATAAAATTATTCATTTATAAAATAAATGTCATTTATTTACATTAATATATGTAGTGTACATAGTTACAATAAAAAAAAATAACCACACATTCCCATACATTTTTTACACAACAAGCATTTCAATATCTTAACACATGGATGCTGACCCGAGCATCGCACAAAAAATAGGGTATATTTGTTCTTTAATTCTAAGAAAGGAGCGAGTCTAGTGGCACGCGATCAATGATATTATAAAGGAAAGATATGCTACGTTCATACTGAGCGGTGTCCAGAAATGTTTCGTTGTTATTACAAATGTACTTACATGTAGGTGTATAGTCATTTTCAACTACGACTACGATAGATTATACGGAACGTATGCTACAGAAAGAGATAGCTATCTGTAGTGTGTTGCGAACACTCAAGTATCGGATTTGCCACAGATGGGACATTGGATATAAGCATAGGTACATTACATTGGAAATGATGTATTAAATAAAACAAAAAACAGAATTGTTAAATTATTTATTCACAAACTTAGACCAAGATAGAAAAGAAGAAAAGTTGAGTTGGCAGTTAAGATTTTCATTATTATTTATTTACCCTCAAATAAGTTTAATTTATTTCTTTTTTGTCTTTTTGACATGCTTTTAATGAATGGGTTATTTTTGTGCTCATGATGCAAACGGACATTCAGATAGTTTGTATTATAGCTCGAATTAGTTGCAGTCTATGATTGAGTATAGGGGTTTGATTCATAGAATGTTCAAACAAAATATCGAATACATTGGACTGCAAAAAGTGTTTTAAAATGTATTGTAATCACTTAAGTCATGAGAATTTCCAAAATATGGACCATTTTCTATGATGAATTTCTTTAAAATATCTTCTGATTTTAAGCACACTAAAAAAACATCATGCGATGCAAAACACAAACCACCCATATCTTTAAGAGTGACGAGTTTATGAAACCATAATTTTTCGTTCGTGAATAAGGAGGAACGACGACAGTCTTCACATTTTAAACTTCTACAAAGTTTTCTAGATACCCAGCCCGAAATATAACCTATTATTTGTTCTACATTACACTAGCGATGATCGTTTTTAAGTAAATCTGTCATAATAGACACGTTTTCTTCCGATTTTTTAGCACTTTCCAAGTTCATAAGCTCATCCATAACCCAATTTTCATCAAGAACCCGTCCGTCGCACGTGTTATTTATGTTTTTTTACTGCTGATGAGCAATTTAGTATCGTAAAATATTCTACCGGAATACAATTACCTGTAAAGGCAGATCGTAATTCCAAATGATTGAACATTTTTTATAAATTGCTTTGAATTGGATTGTATTTGGGTTATTAAATTATACCCTCCATGTCGACGTTTGACCCCGAACATTATTGACATACTGGTAGGTGAGCGAAATTGTGGAACATATCATCATTGTCCTGAAGTAGAATAAATTCTCTTAATTGATACGGTAATTAGAAATGATATTTGTAATTAATTGACCAAGATTGAATGCACGGATCACGTAATTACATAAGTTACGACCATTTTTTTTTCTTGTTGTGGAAATAATGAACTATCGTAAATAAAAATAATAAAATAATTTTTACCGGGGCTATCACAGGTACTGCAGTTTTTTTCAGACGCATGTAGTCTGGAAGTAGTATATTTATCTTCATTTTTAAAATGTTTAGAACAAATTGTACTACTTTTTGTAGACATCCAGTTATATTCACTTCTTTCCGCCTGAACTATGCTGACCCATTTATGTTTTATAAAATCATCACTAAGAAATCTGGAAGAGAACAAAAACATAATAAAAAAGAAATGTTTTATCTAAGGCATATCTTCTAATCGAGTAATAAAATAATATTGAATTATCCGCTATTACTAATTTAAATCTATATCATCTTAATGTTATTATTAGATAAACTAAAACTAATTCAAGCGGTCAACGAACGCTGTGTATTCTGCCTACGATTTCGCATCTGGTTGAATAATCTATGACGCATGGCTTTTTGTCCTTGTCCCGCTGCAGTTGTCATCATATTCACTGTCCTTTTCGAACCACCATATTAATAATTCGAAATGTATTTTGTAAATGATAATTCTTTTTCTTTCAATGGGGTACATTGCCAACATTTGATCTTTTTTGTCCACCCCACCCATCATGATAGTGTAATCTGAAATCAAGATGGGTTTGGGGACACCATTGACCATGGTGATGGAGTTACCATGTTACGTGGATATCGTCGCAACTCTGTTCTGATCTCTCCATACCATGACATCAACATCACCTGAAGTGAAACCAGTTATTTCACCAGGGCGCATTTGCACTTTCGTCGGCCGACTCAAAGCTTCGGGCACGAACTAACTATTACTTCGAAACTTTCCAACACAATCCAACCCCAAACATTTTTACCCACCGGGCGAGTGCGGGAGAGTTATAAAAATTATCCATCTATACCGTGTGACCTCTGTTCTCAAGACCATGGAGCTATCTTAAAACAGTAGTCGACGTAAACGAATCTAACGGATATAGAGTTTGCGTTGTGGATCTTTTATGGGTGTGAACCTCAAACCGCCTCAAATAACCTGTTTGAGACTCACAGACCTCATAAATTTTGATCCCGACTGAAGCGGCTTTGTTGGGAATGAATTGATTAATGTCCGCCCAACATTTCCACTGAAGCAGCGACTCATCAAAGGCTATATTTTGGCGCATTTTATACAAATTTTGAAATTTGGTGTTGTGATGTGACACCACCAGCTGAATTTTAAACAATTTTGCCTCTGAAGCCTCCAGTTCTTGAGAACACATGTCCTGGTTATTATTAAAATGCAGGCATCTGCTTAAAAGTTGAAATCTTTTCAGAGACATGTGTGCTTTAAAACCGGGTGTGCGGAATACGTCGGAATCGGCACACCAGTATTCTTCAAGTCTTGACTTGACAACAACACCCATCGCCAATATTAGGGCAAAAAAGGTGTACATTTCATCAGTACTTGTGTCTACCCAATTGCAAATCCTCTATTGAGATGGATATTATTGTCAATCAACATTTGGTGTGCCAATTCTT